TGCCAGCAAGTCTGTAGAACATCATGATGTTCTTTGTTTTAGCCCAATTTATAGCTTCATTTTATATCACTCTTCCTTGCTTTTCCCTTTGAGTTTTATCACCTACTTCCAGTTTATTTTGCTGTATTTTTAATTAGAAAAATAAAAAGGTGTAATATGAACTACAGTTAAATTTAATAAAGTAGATTTGCTAAACATTACAAGAACTAACGCTGATTTTAAACTTGAGATTTGGGTAATAGTATTATTAATTTCCATACCTTTAATACTTTCATTTTCTCTTAATCAGGGAGAGGACATTAAGTGTAATTGTTGACAGAGGAACTTCACCAATTAATTTCTGCGTTAACCTGCATGGTCTGCTTCTGTGGATCAGAAATTTGTTTATTGAGCAAGTCTTGAAGAACCGGTTACTGCATGACAGTGGCACTCAGATGTCAACGTCACACAGACAGAGTGCAACAGCATAGACACTTACGGAGCTTGGACAAGTGCTTTATTGTTTTATATAATGTTGGGAACTGTGATGGCTTAATAAATGGACAGTTTTCACATGAAACATATTTGAATTTTTATAATAAAATGTCTTATTTCTTTAAATTACTTAGAACTGTGTTTATTAAACCAGAGCTGTTTTTGAGGTTAAAATGAACAACTAAAGCTTAAGCCCAGTGGTTTTCATGTAGAAAAAAAATGATCTGTTTACATATATAACATCTTTAAAAACAAATGCTAGTGAAGGAACACTTAACATTATTTATAAACCAACATCCTTTCTAAATATTTGCCTTTTATATACTAGGACATTATCACCCTTTATTGTATTTTCATTTTGTGTGTTAGTAAAGCAGTTTCTCTAATTGTAATGATTAATTGATTATAAAATTTTAGTATTGATTACAACTATTAAAGTTGGGACAGCTTTGTTCAAAGACAACTAAAGTTCAAGAAATTTCTGAAGAAATGTTTAATTTTTCAACATTTAATATAGATTGAATGTTGAAAATTTTACTGATTGTTCTTATTTTTCATTTTTAAAGGAGATCTAAAGGTTTAAGCTGTTATTCACCATAAGCAAATATTTGATTTCCTGCTACATGTTCAGATTCCTAGGTAGAGATAATACAAGTGAAATTGGTATTGATTCCTGTTGCTGTTGTAGTATCATACAGTAGCCATGTTAACAAGTTCTGTTATATGGGACCATTTCCTCTGCATTAATTTTTTTCCCCCTTGTGTTTTTTCTTAGGAATGATAGTATCATATCTTTTCCTAAATTTTTCCAACCTAATGCTCATTTGAGTACCATAGAGTATTGCCTGTGTCAGTATTGTGGGTTTTGCTACTCTTTTGATGAAATTGTAGCAGGATTAATATGTAGGCCATAAATATATATGATGAACAATTATGTTGAAAATTACTGTTTAGCAGTAAGCAATTGTGGTTTTACAACATGGAGATTTCTTTCACCTTTTGCTTGGTAAAACTTTTGGTCATTGGCCAACTTTAATCTTTTATTTTCATATTTTATTTTTCCTGTTTTTTCCTTAATGTAGTTCATTCTGGGTTTCCTTTGGGGCATTTAGTTTTGAATCAATTTCACATATGTCGGGAGCCTAACACTAATGAATATGGTACTAAGGAATCGCCGAGTTCCATTGTGAAAGATATTTTCATGCTTATTCAAACATGTTAAATTTTTTGAGTTCACTGAATAACATTCTGATTGCATCATATTAAAATGCATTGTTGCCATAGCAATTAAGCAGTTGAATAAAATATAAGCAATATTTGCCCATTTTCCTGAAAATTTGGGAATAGTTAGGAAAAGGTTGATTTTAGACAACTGAAGTTTATGAAGTTAAAATTGTGAGCTCTGTGAACATTTGATAAGAAATAGTTATATTTCGTAGTAGTTTTTTTTTTAAAATAAATTTTTATTGTTCATATTATTACAAATGTTCCTTTCCCACCCTCTGCCCTTTCCCCACCCCCCATTGTCCTCATCCATAGGTGCACAGTTTATGTTCAGTCTCTTCCCACATCCCCCTCGCCCCTTTTCCCCAAGAATAAACAGTTCACTCCCCTTCCATACCTCTGATTCTATTATATTCAACAGTTAATATTGTTCCTCAGATTTTTTTTTTTTAGTTTCCTTGGTTTTTAGATTCACTTGTTGATAGTTACGTATTTGTTGTTCATAATTTTTATCTTTATTTACTTTCTCTTCTGAAAGAACCCCCTTCAGCAATTCATATAATTCTGGTTTGGTGGTGATGAACTCCTTTAGCTTTTTTTTTATTAGTGAAGCTCTTTATCTGACCTTCGAATCTGAGTGATAGCTTTGCTGGATAGATTATCTTTGGCTGTAGGTTCTTGCTATTCATCACCTTGAATATTTCTTGCCATTCCCGTCTGGCCTGCATGGTTTCTGTTGAGAAATCAGCTGACAATCGTATAGGTGCTCCTTTATAGGTAACTACCTTCTTTGCTCTTGCTTCTTTTAATATTCTCTCTTTGTCTTTTGCTCTTGGAATCTTAATTATGATTTGTCTTGGTGTGGTCCTCTTTGGATTCCTTTTGTTTGGAGTTCTGTGCGCTTCCTGGACTTGTAAGTCTAATTCTTTCACCAGGTGGGGAAAGTTTTCTGTCACTATTTCTTTCAGTATGTTTTCGATATCTTGCTCTCTCTCATCTTCTGGGACCCCCATAATTCTGATGTTGGTTCGCTTGAAGTTGTCCCAGAGGTTTCTTACATTATCTTCAACTTTCTGGATTCTCTGGCCTTCTTGCGTCTGCGGAGGAGTGTCTTCTGGCTCTTTATGTTCCAAATCTTTGACTTGATTTTTGCGATCTTCCATTCTGTTTTTAGGACTCCATAAAATATTTTTTATTTCAGACAATGTATTCTTTATTTCTTGTTGATCCCTTATTATTTCTAGTTGATCCCTTTTCATATCCTCATAGGTCTTGTTTATTTTATCGGCCTTTTCTAGGAGATTCTTGAACAACCTTATAAGTGTGGTTTTGAACTCTATATCCAGTCGCTTTTTGTCCTCCATTTCTTTTGTTTGTGATCTATTTGGTTTAGGCATTTTCGCAGGCAGCTTTCCTGATGGGGCGGGGTTTCAGGGTGGAGCCTACAGCCTTGGCTTCCGTCAGCCCCGCCCTATGCGACTCCTGAGACTCAGGGTCCTTCAGTACTTGTTGCGAGCGCCTCTGAGAGAAAGGTGCCCTCGATTTTCGCCTGCTGCCAAACTGTCTATGCTCTCCCCCAATGAGTCCGGTATTGGGGTTCAGTTCAGTTGGTAGTGGGATTGGAGGTGGCGTTCAGAGCAGTCTGGAGCCCCTGTCTCCTTCCCGTCAGGGCAATCCCGCGGCACAGCCGGCCGGCCCTTCTCTGCGCACAGTGTGCGCGCCTCCGGGACCTCCTTTCGCCGCTTCCCCGGAGTCCCGCCTTACAGCCCGGCTCCCTATGGATGAGCCTGGGTCCCCAGGGTCTGGCCTAGAATTGGGGTTCAGAGCAGTTGGAGCTGGGCCCAGCACAGTCGGAGCTTTTCTCTCCTTCCCGCTTGGGACCGCCAGCCAGGCACTCGGCCTCCCTCCTCTCCGGCTCTGTCCTCTCCGCGCGCGCACTGCGTGTCTCTGTACCTTAGGCTTTTACAGCTCCTCCGCGCTTCCTTCTGGTTTTCTTCTTGCTTCTTGTAGAATTTCCAGTCAGTCGACTTTGCTGTAGTTCTGGGTAATGTCCATTTTATATTTTAGTTGTATTTTGTTGAAATTGTTGTGTGCGGCTACGGCTAGTTGCCTACCCGAGCAGCCATCTTGGATTCTCTATATTTCGTAGTATTTTATGCCTCATTCCAATATAGGTTTTCTGTATCACTCATGAAGGAAGCATAAAAAAATACTTTGAATACATTATCTATAGCAGATAGCTGGTCATCTTTAGAATTATTTAGTTTTTATAAAAAATTATTTCTGGATAATTTAAGTGTATGCTAGAGCTAGTTATAATCACAGAAAGGGAAGGGACTAGGAACCAAAACATCCTCAACTTTTAAAATTCTGCATACTGAATGAAAAAAAATTAACCCAACAAGGGTTTTAAAAGGGAGAATTCCACTTAGGTATTCTGTTTATTGCCTGGAGTTATTTAAAATAATTTTATTACTGAAATACTGTTGAAATTCACTTCACTGGCACTGATACTCTGCAGTATTTACATTTATTAAGAATTTGAGTTCTGATAGCTATAAAATCTGGGACAGGTCACCCAGTCTCATTCAATTTCTTCAGTTTATATACAGCTGAGAGAATTGGGGCAAAACAATTACCTTTGGTTCCTTGCAGTGCCATTCTAAGATTATGTAATTAAATGGGGAAATAAAGCCCTCTAGTGGTTCTGTCATGCTTGCACTATTCGGTGCATGTAGCATTTCTCTAGAGTTTGATTTTAAGAAATTCATTGTTGAGAAGAATCCAATAATACTACATGACCTTAAAAGTATGGGGGAAAAGGTGTTGGGGTTATCTTAATCTAACAATAAATGTATTTTAGATTGTAATTCACTTATGTAACCTATTTTTTGAGTTCTAACTAGGTGGTTCAGAATATTAGAATTGCCCTGTACTTTACAAGATGGATGAATCCAGGTACTTGGCTGATACGTGCTGTGGGTATGATCAGATAATTACTTGTGCATGTTAAAGTATAGGGTAAATTAACTGAGCTGGAGTGTGAAGTAGATCATGCTATACTTACCCATGCTATGAAATATACAGCTATTAATAAGTTACATTTCCAGACCTGGGATTTATGATGTGTCTTTAGGGGAAAACAAGTTACAGGATGATTTTATATAAATAGAGCTCCTTATTTTTGCTTTTAAGAAAGTGGGAGACACCTCAAACCCTTTTATAAATATGTTTGTATAAGCAAAGAAAGCGGTAAGGGTATAAACCAAACAATATTACCTTAAGAATTTTTATAGAGACAAAGAAGTAATCTTTGAGTGACATTTGGAATGATGTGTAAGATTACTTCTTTGTCTCTATGAAATGGTTATGGAAAAAAACAAAAGTATCTAAAATGGAAAAACTTTAAAGGATCAACTGAAAACAGGGACTTTAATCTCACTGGTTTTAGGACTAAGCCTGGCTCTTAATTTCAGAACTGATTTCCAGCAGAGAACAGTTAAGTCAGCTTTTTTTTTTTTTTTACAAGAAAAAATTAATTTGTGTTAACATTGTAGGCAAAGAAGGCTTTGCCTGATTTTTTAAGTTTACCATTTTCTGAGTGTGTTTATTGTTTAAATGGGATGTTTGCATTTGATAATCTTAGATATAAGATGATGCCCAAAGTGGTTAAAATGTTTGGCCTGGTATTTCTCTTTATTTTGTTAATACAGTTTCCCCTTGCTCTGGGGATTAAAATCCTTTTCTCTTTAGCCCAATCACATTTGTCAAGGGAGGGCCTTTATGAAAAGGCTATTCTTTGAGGTCTTGAAGTGGAAATGATTAGTTCTGAAAATTCTTCCCTTAGTGGCATTTATAGCATTTTATAATTATTGAAGGCTGACTCAATATCTTCCCTCCAGAATGCTAAAGAATAATTTAAGCAAAAGTTCAGATTTTAAAAATGAAGATGACTCAGTTTTTTCACAGACTGAACACAATATTGTTGCAACTTACTTGATAATGGCAGGTATGGATGTTTACTCTCTTAATAGTAATTTTACTTTCAAGTGGGTGAGGAAAAGCAGAGGATTTCAGCATAAGGCAGTAGAAAAGGCATAGGTTTAGAGATAATGTCTCAAGTTTCATATGGTTAGCCAACCTCCCGAAATCACTTTTGCTTTCTGAGTTGGGTGCTTAGGATATGAGGGTGATGATAGTTGCACTGTTTCCTGGCTGTCAAGATCAAGTAAAAGAATGTCAGTGAGAGGATAAGTGAAAGCATTGCTAATGGTTAATATCGCAAGTTACTTTGAATATTTATTTGGTTGATTTTAGAGAGAGAGAAAAAAGGTAGAGAAACATAGAGTTGTTGTTCTACTTATTTATGCATTCATTGGTTGATTCTGTGTGCCCTTACTAGGGATTAAACCCATAACCTTGACATATTAGGACGACGATCTAACCAGCTGAGCTACCTAACCAGGGCAACTTTGAATCTTGAAACACCGCATGAGAGCAGTGACTTAGGGCTGAGAAAGTTTTCTATAAAATTAATAATTATTTAATAATCTATACATTTGGTTATTATGTTTTCAGGTATGATAAGTATTCTCAGCAACATAATAGTTCTGGGCATCTTCATTACATATAAGGAACTCCGGACACCCACAAATGCAATTATCATTAACCTGGCTGTTACTGACATAGGGGTCAGCAGCATTGGCTATCCCATGTCTGCTGCTTCAGATCTGCATGGAAGTTGGAAATTTGGATATGCAGGATGCCAGGTATTGGAGATCTTTGGAATTAAAGTTAAATAAAGAATATAAATTTAAATGTTAAAAAAAAAAACAACCATGGATTTTAATCAAATAAGATCATATAGATAATAGGTATAGTGCTCTTTTTGAGAACAGTTTCACAAGTACTGGAAAATGTATTCTTTAACTAGAGAAATGAAATTGCTATATTATATTAAAAATTTTTTTGCAACCAAAAAGAAAAAAAACAAAAACAAAAAATTAACATTCAACTAGACAAGAATAGTGAGAAGGTGCATTTTCAAATGAAAACTTGCATATTGCAAGTTCAAAAAGGTATATCCTGCTTTCATTTGAAATAACAAATATTAATGATATATCATAATATCTAAGTAATGTAGTTAGGCTACCTATCACATTGATTTTCTTTTACTGACAAAATAAATTAATATTAATTTGTGTTAAGATAGTAGGCAAATAAGACGTTGCCTGATTTTTTAAGTTTACCATTTTAAGCTATAAAATCATAAAGAACAAAATAAGACTAATAGAGGATAAAATATCCATTTATACATGAGCCAGTTTTGTCAAATCTTAATGTTTTTTAAAATCTTTATTGTTGACAGTATTACATTTGTTATCTTTCCCCCACAAGGTTTATCAATATGCACTTAAGGTGGTTTTTTTTTTAAAGATAAAAAACTTAGCAGATGTAGTTGGAGGTCATTGCATACTATCCCAATCTCATTCCATTCTCTCCCGTGAATGTTTTAATCTCACTACATATTTATGTGTACATAAACTAAATACTATCTTAATATTTTAAATTTTGTATCAACATTGTTTGCATTATGCAACTTTCAATATTTTTTTAGTTTTAGCCATTTTATGAACACATACCAACATATTTATTTTTCTATTATTGAATATTTATTCTCAATGCTTTTCTGTCATAAAAAAAGGCTTCAGTGAATGTTCTTATCCATGTCTCCTACAATACATGAGAGTCTCTTTAGATACATTGCGTGGGAGAGTTTGGTTGGGTTGTAGAGAATGTTCATCTTCAACTTTATCAGATGCTGCCAAATTGCTCTCCAAAATGGTTGTGCCACTTATAAGAATTTCTGTTACTCCTCATTTTCCCCAACGCTTGGGATTGTCAGACTTAAATTTTTACCATTTTGATGGGTGTAAAAAGGTGTTCATAGTTTTCACTTCTTTGAATACTTAATGTGGTCTACATTTTTTTTATGTCACAAGCATTCAATTTTCTCTTTCATGAATAGCCTATTTTTCTGTTTTTAGAGTCTTTCCCCCTGTTTATAGAGTATGCTGGTTAGAAATTTTACTTTAAGTCTTAAAATTTTTTGAGAGAGAGATAAGTCTTAAAAATTTTTTAAATTTTATTTTAATTAATGAAGTCTCAAAACACTTTCCATGAAACCAGTTACACTTTGACAATATGTTTTAAAATCAGTACAATACTAGAACATTTAATGTATTTATATTCTAGCACTGGGGTAAAAATGTAACTGTCTCTTGGGAGGTATGGAACAGTGGGTTCTTTGCAATTTTGATTTTCAGATTTATGCTGGATTGAATATCTTTTTTGGAATGGCAAGTATTGGCTTACTCACAGTTGTGGCCATGGATCGATACCTGACCATTTGCCGTCCTGATGCAGGTACAGCACTTTTCTCAATGAATTCCTATCTTGCCTAAGTACCACTTGACACACATTCACTTTAGAATATAAATGGTTGTAATTGTGATCAACTTTATTTCTCTAACAGTCATCGTTCAAAAGTTTAAATGGCCGAAACCGATTTGGCTCAGTGGTGGAGCGTCGGCCTGCGGACTGAAGGTCCCGGGTTCGATTCCGGTCAAGGGCATGTACCTTGGTTGTGGGCACATCCCCAGTGGGGGGTGTGCAGGAGGCAGGTGGTCGATGTTTCTGTCTCATCGACATTTCTGGCTCTCTATCTCTCTCCCTTACTCTCTGTAAAAAAATCAATAAAAATATATTTTTAAAAAAAGTTTAAATGGTTTCCTATTATACTTAGAATAATATCACAGCCGCCTCCAAGGCCCTGCTACCCTTCTAGCTTTGGCTCGGGTCCTCTCATTTTGGGGTCCTGGCCACTCCCTTTCCCACTCTGGGGTCTTTGGAGACACTGCTTCCTCAGTTCTGGAAAACGCTTCTCTCTGCTTATCCTCCCAACGATCCTTTTATCCATTGGAGTGAGGCTTTGAGTGAGCTGAAGTGTTCTATAAACAATCTACTTGAGAACTTTGAATAATCAGTTAAAACAAAGTGGGGATATGAATTTCATTATGGGCAAGTGAGGCTAATATTTCATATGTTTGTTCATAGGAAGAAGAATGACCACCCACACTTACATCAGCATGATTCTGGGGGCCTGGATCAATGGGCTCTTTTGGGCTTTGATGCCTATCCTAGGGTGGGCCAGTTATGCCCCAGACCCTACTGGGGCCACCTGTACCATAAACTGGCGGAAAAATGATGTGTAAGAGACACTTTCACACTTTATAACGAAGTGCTTCTAATGTAGACATTTTCTCACCCTTTCAAGTTTAAGCTCAGATCAGATGTTTTCCGTACAGAGTGGCGAGGGCTTCCTTGGTGGTGGTGATGTGATTCCAAGCTTTGAATTACGCTTGTTTACAAGTAAATGCCACCCAGCTCCCCCTGACAACCTCTTTCTCCCCCACTCCTACCCTGTTCCTTCTCTCTTCTCTGGCAGAAAAGGGGAAGCAGAACACCCTTCTGAAAT